TGGTTTCGTCGAAGACATCATAAGAAGGAAAGTGAAAAGCCATGCAACCTCTGAAGAGACAACTAACACAACACCTATACCCCCTATTAGACTATTTTACAGGAACTTCTTTTCCACAGCTCATAAAACGGAGGAAAGGGTCCTGAAAGATATTGTTAATAGAAACGTTATCCCTACAGACAAAAATCAGAGGATACAACTGACGATTTACTATAAAACCAGAAAAACGGCCAGCCTACTCATGAGAAACTCTCCAGACACAAAACAGAACGCTTTAAAAGAGACTAACGTCGTCTATGCCTTCAAATGCCCTCTTGGGGACTGTAAGCTCCAAAAAACCCAGTATATAGGCAAGACAACAACATCTCTTTCTAGGCGTTTAACGATGCATAAGCAACAGGGCTCCATTAAGGAACATATAATCTCTTCCCTCAACCAAACCATCGCCAGAGAAATCCTAGTAAACAACACAGAAATCATCGATAGATACAGCGATAGCAGGCGGCTTGACGTTTGCGAGGCACTACACATCAAGAAGTCAACACCAGCAATCAACAGCCAATTATTGCACAACTATATTCTACCCACCTCAAGACTCCGCTCCAATATAGAAGTATCAAGAAATATGGACCAATAGGCTTTCTACAAACACTTCTATTAAATATCCATTGTTTCGTGCTCTGTCTTGTGTTGATGAAATTAATACCCTATTAATACTCTTGTTCTGTCTTGTGTTGATGAAATTAATACCCTATTAATACCACATTTTGTTCTGTCTTGTGTTAATGCCACATCATCCCTTCCACCTCACTCAAATGTAGATATAAAATCGGAGATGCGTAAGTTCTATTCAGTTGTGTATTTGTGAACTAAAGTCTTTGAAAATGTAATAAGTTTTACGAAACGCGCTCGTGTCGCGTCAGACTAGAAATAAAAATGAATTTTGGAGAATTGATTTTTGATTTACCTCCAACAGTGAAAAGAAATGTACGAAAGATTGAGAAAATTCGTGTTAGAATTATTAATCTTACTTTTTCGGTCATATTTAATAATATATGTCTACAAGAAAGACTGCTACCAAAATATACTAATATATATATATATATATATATATATATATATATATATATATATATATATATATATATATATATATATATATATATATATATATATATATATATATATATATATATATATATATATATATATATATATATATATATATATATATATATATGTCGTACCTAGTAGCCAGAACGCACTTCTCTGCCTACTATGCAATGCCCGATTTGCCTAATAAGCCAAGTTTTTCAGGAATTATTTATTGTTTTTCGACTACCTAACCTAACCTAATCTAACGTAGATTTTTCGGCTACCTAACCTAACCTAACCTATAAAGGTAGGTTAGGTTAGGTTAGGTAGGGTTGGTTAGGTTCGGTCATATATCTACGTTAATTTTAACTCCAATAAGAAAAAAATTGACCTCATACATAATGAAATGGGTAGCTTTATCATTTCATAAGAAAAAAATTAGAGAAAAAATATTAATAGGAAAACTAGGCTTATTAGGCAAGTGAGGCCTTGCATAGTAGGCTGAGAAGTGCGTTCTGGCTACTATATATATATATATATATATATATATATATATATATATATATATATATATATATATATATATATATATATATATATATATGTCGTACCTAATAGCCAGAACGCAATTCTCAGCCTACTATTCAAGGCCCGATTTGCCTAATAAGCCAAGTTTTCATGAATTAATGTTTTTTCGTCTACCTAACCTACCTAACCTAACCTAACCTAGCTTTTTTTGGCTACCTAACCTAACCTTACCTATAAATATAGGTTAGGTTAGGTTAGGTTGGGTTGGTTAGGTTCGGTCATATATCTACGTTAATTTTAACTCCAATAAAAAAAAATTGACCTCATACATAATGAAATGGGTAGCTTTATCATTTCATAAGAAAAAAATTAGAGAAAATATATTATTTCAGGAAAACTTGGCTTATTAGGCAAATCGGGCCTTCCATAGTAGGCCGAGAAGTGCGTTCTGGCTATTAGGTACGACATATATATATATATGTCGTACCTAGTAGCCAGAACGCACTTTTCAGCCTACTATGCAAGGCCCGATTTGCCTAATAGGCCAAGTTTTCCTGAATTAATATATTTTCTCTAATTTTTTTTCTTGTGAAATGATAAAGCTACCCATTTCATTATGTATAGTTCAATTTGTTTTTATTTGATTTAAAATACGTTGATATATGACCGAACCTAACCAACCCTACCTAACCTAACCTAACCTATCTGTATAGGTTAGGTTAGGTTAGGTGGCCGAAAAAGTTAGGTTAGGTTAGGTTAGGTAGGTTAGGTAGTATTAATCAGGAAAACTTGGCTTATTAGCCAAATCGGGCCTTGCATAGTAGGCTGAAAAGTGCGTTCTGGCTACTAGGTACGACATATATATATATATATATATATATATAGGGGGGGGGTACCACCTCTAGTGCAATTATAGGGACCCACAGCCTCAGAGAAGGGAACAGAGAGCATTCAGGGAAAAACTTGCCATTTAACTCTGAATACGTAAGAGTGTTCGCTTCTCCTTCCATCCCCCCCCCCTTTTTTATGGTGTACACTTTATTATGCAAGGTTATACAGTTACATATCTGATTTTTTATAAAAAAAAAAAAAAACTAACATTAAGAGGACACAAAAAAAAGTTTGCTTCCTAGAGGCTGTAGATTTCCTCGAACTCCTCCGACGCCGGGCAGGAACCGAGGATGCAGCGAGCATTCCCCCTCTGGATGGCGATACTGAGGCGCTGAAAGAGAAAACTTGCTGCTCTAGGGTCTCTTGTGGTGTCAATGAGCTTGGAACCAAGATCCTTAAGAAACCTTCTTGCACTCTCTCCCCATGGGCCTAGGGTCTCAGACCCTATTGGAACGAAGTTGTACTGATGATCTAATTGCCTGTACTTGGCTGACTTGTCTCCTTCTCTGCGTGTCGCCGCGGCTCCTGCTGTGCCGGCATAGAGGTTGATGTATGTAGTTGCCAGGGTGGATACACAAGTATAGTCCCATGCCAACTGTCTGCCACCCTTCCACGGACGCAGTGTGATTCCGTCTGGTCGGCCGGCAAAGCTAACAGAGTCACAGTTCAGTAAGTTGCGGGGCTGTCTCTCCGCTGGACACTGAGCAAAGGCAACTCCACACCCCAGAAGTGACTCGAACCCATACTGCCAGGAGTACTATGCAACTGGTGTACAGGAGACCTTAACCTCTCGACCGTCACAACTGGACAAAAGATGATGGTAGCCGAGGCTATTTGCCTATCATTCCGCCGGATCTGATGGTAATATTGACCAAGGTAATTTATCAAATCACCTCATTTTGGGGGGCCACGTGAGCACCACAAATCGAACAAGCCTGAATGGTCCCCAGGCGTATATGCAACTGAAAACTCCACACCCCAGAAGTGACTCGAACCCATACTGCCAGGAGCACTATGCAACTGGTTACAGGAGACCCTATGTCTCAGGAGACCTGCACAGGAGAGGAGAATAGATATGACAAAAACCGCCGTGATTACGATATGTACAAGATTTTAAGAGGCATTGATGAAGTGGAAAGACCATAAATGTCAAGAATGAACAAGACCAAGTTTCCACATGAATGGAAACTAGAAATCTAAATTATCCATAGGGATGTTGAAAAGATCTTGTGCAGTGAGCAAGTGGATTGATGCCAAGTCACTTAACTTTACAAATCATTCATCTTTGCCATACCCTACAAAATACTCCTACAGTATCCAACGCTCGCTTAATTATTCTGTCCAGTGACAAAGCTCTTGTTTCATTTGTAATAATTGGCAGTAACATAATTGATGGACTTATTTTATCTCTAAAATGAGTTACTTGTCAGCAAATTTATGAAGATGATTTTCTAGCTCCTCAGATACTGTTTCCAAGGTTTTCCTAACAATTTCTCAAAACGTCTTCCTGATTAGTGGTCAAGTTTGCTGGTCAATGTAAGCTTGAGATTGAGGTGCAATAAGGCTGCAAACAGAGGTGCACATCTTTCAAGAATGTAGGGACACACACACAGTCTGCAACTCTTTCTTTTCCACCAGTAGAAAACATGAATAGGTAAGAGAAAGGAGCATTCTTTCGGAGTGTTCTTGCTATGAAACTTGCATCTCGCATGCAAGGTGAGAAACAAAAAGGTGGGTTATAACCGAGCACTGGTGGCTACAGGGCCATCAGGTTTGTCAAGTTGTGGTTTGGAATCATCAGATAGTGGTCCTTCCTGATTTTTCAATTTTACTTTTCTGACCGAAGCCATGGGCTTTCTTTTTACATTACCAACAAGAATTGTAACCCATTTAGTGACTTATTGAGTACTCAATCAGAAAAAAAACAGCGAAATGTTTTTTATGACAATTGTTAAAATGGCTAATGCGATTTCTCAGTTTGTAGTTGCTATGATTAACAATATTATTTTTTCTAATATTATGAGACCGTATTCTTGTCCAGACTATGAGTGACCTGACACAAGGCGCACTAATAACAACCGAGTGGCAAACTTGCCCTGAAAATCTCCAGGGGCCAGATTCACGAATCACGCAAGCACTTACGAACGTGTACATCTTTTCTCAATCTTTGGCGGCTATGTTCACAATTATTAAACAGTTTATGAGTTCCGAAGCACCAGGAGGTTGTTTATCTCAATAACAACAGTTGATTGGGAAGTTTTCATGTTTGCAAACGGTTTAATAAATGTAACCAAAGTCGTCAAAGATTGAGAAATGATGTACACGTTCGTAAGTGCTTGCGTAAGTGCTTTCGTGAATCTTGCCCCCAGGCTGAGTGTGTTGTCACGGCCACTCCGAATCCCCAAAGTTCCTGCTATAAAGATAATTTTTTTTTATGAAGAGCTCCCAATAAAAAACGATCTACTTTGTAATATTTTATTTCGAAAATGGCGGAAAAGACATTTTGGTCTTCCTCCAAATCAACTAAACCTACTTCACCATCTCTATCTCTGCAGCAATCCCCTCCCCCTTACTCCTTCATTATCCCATCCATCACATATTCAATTATTCTCCTATTTGCTGCCTCGTCCACAGATGCCGCCATAGCTGACACAAACCCATGTGCAGAGACCGGCATGACACCCTACGACTACAGCCAGGTGAGTGTCACTCCTTGATACATGACACCCTACGACTACAGCCAGGTGAGTGTCACTCCCTGATACATCAGCCAGGTGAGTGTCACTCTTGATACTGACACCCTACGATACATGACACCATGACACCCTACGACTACAGCCAGGTGAGTGTCACTCCTTGATACATACACCCTACGACTACAGCCTGCGACTACAGCCAGGTGAGTGTCACTCCCTGACACATGACACCCTGCGACTACAGCCATGTGAGGGTCACTCCCTGACACATAACACCCTGCGACTACAGCCAGGTGAGGGTCACTCCCTGACACATAACACCCTGCGACTACAGCCATGTGAGGGTCACTTCCTGACACATAACACCCTGCGACTACAGCCATGTGAGGGTCACTCCCTGACACATAACACCCTGCGACTACAGCATATGCAAGCTTCCATAGTAATCTCAAGCTGTGCAAAAATTGTTGTTGGCTATATGAAATACTAGGACTGGACTATGAAGGACTAAATGAAAAACGGTTTACACACGATTCACAACTGATTTCGTTAGAACACTTCCGGAACAAGTGCTTCACTGACGAATTTTGTTCAAAAAACAACGCTGTAAATGCTTCACCCACGTACGACAAATACAAATAATCGCCAACAGAACCTTAACACCTAACCTAACCTATGCCTATATATGCACAATATGCTAATATATTATTATATTAATTTATATTTGAGAAAATTCTTGTTTTGAATGAACAACATGTAAAAATTTATGAATGCATCTGTGGGGTCGACCGCTGGATGTAATAGATATGAGTCGAGAACGAGTTTGGGTTTTTGTGGTCCTTACTTCCAACCGTTTCTGGAGGAGAGGGCCTCTATCTCACCATCCCACTACACTCGTTAGCAAAATTTTTCCCCATATGGATATCCCCTGGGTACTGGTACTCCAGGCTTGATGTGGTAGCTGGTCCGACTCTATTGCAACAGATCCAGTAGACTCAGGTCACAACCAGTTACCTCTTGGGACTCCTCTCGATGAGAGGAGTCCATATACATCTAAGTTGACATACTTTGGACACCAACTAACGAAATTAGTTCTTGCAAGCACTTATGAAAGCAATATTTTTGGGCTCTGAGAGATCCATCTCTCACCATTATCAAATTAGGTCACCAAAGTTTACCGAGAAATTACGTCAAGCAATTTTTCGCTCGTTGACACTAGAATGGTGGGATTATAGCTTAGCGACTTGCCCCTGAATAGTATGCGGCAATTGTGTGTGGTTATTGCACACGGCTGCCATGTCGTGGTCAGTTCGCTGGACTTGTGATCCTGTGGTCCCGGGTTCGATCCCGGGCGTCGGCGAGAAACAATGGGCAGAGTGTCTTTCACCCTATGCCCCTGTTACCTAGCAGTAAAATAGGTACCGGAGAAATAATTAACATTGTTGCAGGAAATACCAGGCACTAGGAAACCTTTTTCTCTGTCATTTATTGACTGAAAATTTAGCAGCACTTGCAACCCCTGACACTTGGCTCTTCACAGCTAATTCAGAGAAACATTCTCTTACAGACATGTAATATTTACAAACATATGTATTAGGTGCATACAACAATTAATTAACATATGTTTACTATTTACAATCATGAGAAGAGAGCTGAAATTCTGTAGATAAGTTACACATTACTTGGCTCTATCACCCCTATTCCTTCTTTCCTTATTTCCCTCACTCCCCTCAGCTGCTTTACCTCCTCTCCACACTTCCCTCAGGCACTGTACTCCCACCTCCTCACTCGACTCCTCAGCCACTGCCCTCAGCCAATATACCACCACTTCCACACTCCCTTTAGGCACTGTACCTTCACCTCACTCCCCTCAGGCACTACTTCCACCTCCTCAATCCCGTCAGGAACTGTACCTCCACCTCCTCTCTCCCCTCAGCCACCGCACCTTCACCTCCTCACTCCCATCAGCCACTGTACCTACACCTCCTCATTCCCCTCAGCCCTGTACCTCCACCTCCTCATTCCCCTTAGCCACTGTACCTCCATCTCCTCACTACCCTCAGGCACTGTGCATGTCGTTCGTATTCTACGAGGCGCAGCGTCGGGTCCCCTGCCGGACGATATGCGGGTCCCTTGGCGAGGCGACTCGGCCCTGGACGACGGCTCAGATGTGGGCCACGACCTTGCTGGTGGCTATTATGACGGTAAAGAGTGAGAGAGAAAGGAGGAACTTACAATGACTACCAAACACACAGTCCTCTGAATAGTTAATAACTCTGTCATCTTTTCTTCCTCGTCCGTCAGCCGGCGACCTGGTCAAGTTCGGCTTCCCGATGGCCTTCACCACGACCATGCTGTCTTGGGGCCTCATCGAGTTCCCCGACGGCTACAGTACAACCGGTGAGACTCTGTACTGACACATCTCTCCCTGTTGTTAGTTCTGTAACATTTTTGTATTTAGAAAATATCATGTATTATACGCCTGTCAGTTTTGTCTCCTGTAGAGAATGAAAAGACTTTTTCTTCCGCACTGTATGCTTTTCTTCCAGTTCGCTTTCTCTTCCCACTTAACTTCATTTGTCATGAATAATAATGGAACGCTACAATCTCATTTGTCCAGGATGGAACCATCTGTAAAGCACTATGCCAAAACTTATCTCTATTGATAGTACTGATTAATATTTCTTAAAGAATAGGCTATGGAATTACCTTTGCATATGTCCTTACATAATCCTTGTCCCCTGGTCATGGGATATTGAGTAAATAACTTTACAATTGATGCTGCCTACTCTAGAACAATATATGTTACACCAGACAATGTCTCTGAACAAATGAATCACAGAACACTTTCCCTGATTCTTTAGACATATCTTATGCACAACGCTTGTGCGTCTCCCTTACAGGGCAGACTGAATACGCCCAGGCAGCGATCAAGTGGGCCACCGACTACTTCCTCAAGTGTCACACCTCCACGGACGAGTTTTGGGGCCAGGTGAGGCCGCCCTCTCTGCTCACTGAAGACTAGAAACTTACTAATTTCCTTTCTTTAGCGTGATCGGGCCTGACAAATGCGAAGGAACTAACATTGCCAAAAAAGGTCATTTTTAATTGAATGTACTCAAGAGATCAGTAAGTTCACACTTACTGACCTCTTGAGTAATCACCATTGTTCTAACATGATCAAAGAAAAAATCCTACGATCCTACGATTGCTGAAGAAAAAGCTCAAATAATTTATGAAGTAATATACAGTTTCAGATGAAAACAGGTGAGGCTGCACTTGTGGGAACCTTCAGGTCTCCTTTAAATACTTTTTATTCTCTTCTGAGTGGTTAAGGTTTCATGCAGCTTTCTCATATATATATATATATATATATATATATATATATATATATATATATATATATATATATATATATATATATATATATATATATATATATATATATATTTATTAAATATGACCGAAAAAGTAAGATTAATAATTCTAACACGAATTTTCTCAATCTTTCGTACATTACGCTTCACTGTTGAAGGTAAATAAAAAATCACTTCTCCAAAATTCATTTTATTTCTAGTCTGACGCGACACGGGCGCGTTTCGTAAACTTATTACATTTTCAAAGACTTCACAAATACACAACTGATTAGAACTTACGTATCTCTGATTTTATATCTACATTTGAGTGAGGTGGGAGGGGTGATGTGGCATTAACACAAGACAGAACAAGAGGGGATATTAATAGGGTATTAAAAGTATCAACACAAGACAGAACACGAAACAATGGGTATTGAATAGAAGTGTTTGTAGAAAGCCTATTGGTCCATATTTCTTGATGCTTCTATATTGGAGCGGAGTCTTGAGGTGGGTAGAATATAGTTGTGCAATAATTGGCTGTTGATTGCTGGTGTTGACTTCTTGATGTGTAGTGCCTTGCAAACGTCAAGCCGCCTGCTATCGCTGTATCTATGATTCCTGTTGTTACATTCCTACAAGCATACATCACCACGCCAACCTCGCCACACCACTTGCCTCGTCATATCAGCCACTTCCCGGAAGATTTTCTCATATAGTACGATTCACCACTGTCTCGGGCCTCTTAGGTTTATCGAGGATCCTAGTCCCTGAGCGAGTTTGAACGCCGGTCACCCATCCAGTAATTGCCTTACTCACCTTCGAGGTGAGGTGTGCCCGTCAGATCTTAACACACCCCTAGATACATCACCACTTTGTTACTCTTGCCATGACAATTCCTTTGCATCTCTCACCTGGCTGCTGTCCTCACCAGGACGTCGACCCAGAATACGCCACTCAGCTGCTCGACGGGGCCAAGGAACTCTACGAATTCGCTGACAACTTCAGACTGACCTACGACCAGTCCATCACCGACGCCTACAACTGGTACCGGTATGTTCTTGGTGACGGATGGAACCGTAAAGCTTAGATAAGTCA